GACATCCGATTATCCGGACATTTTACCGATTCTTCATCTTGTCAATACAAGTGATATGTTTTTTGAATTATTCAAATCGGACACTCCGTTCTCTTAAAAACTGAGTTTCCGTTTTGGGCACTTTTTGCCCCGTATCTTCGGAACGGCTAGACATGCCTTCGCCAAAAACTAATCAGCACGTCTCCTTATCAATACGAATCGAATGTTTTCTGAATTATTCAAATCGGTTGATTCGTGTTCCCGAAATCGTCGACGAAAATTTGTATCCGCACATACATACACACACACATACATCCATTTTTTCTAAGGTATGCCAAAATGTTCAGAAACCTTTGAAACGTAAAGATATAAAAAAAAATTCATTTTTGATTTTTTTGCGATTACTATAACTTGCCCTACGGGAAGTTAAAAAAATATATAGGCTTCGGATTATCCGGAATTCGGATTATCCGGACATCCGATTATCCGGAATTCGGATTATCCGGAATTCGGACATCCGATTATCCGGACATCCGATTATCCGGACATCCGATTATCCGGACATCCGATTATCCGGACATCCGATTATCCGGACATCCGATTATCCGGACATCCGATTATCCGGACAACCGATTATCCGGACATCCGATTATCCGGACATCCGATTATCCGGACATCCGATTATCCAGACATCCGATTATCCGGATATCCGATTATCCGGACATCCGATTATCCGGACAACCGATTATCCGGACATCCGATTATCCGGACATCCTATTATCCGGACATCCGATTATCCGGACATCCGATTATCCGGACATCCGATTATCCGGACATACGATTATCCGGACATACAATTATCCGGACATCCGATTATCCGGATAACCGATTATCCGGACAACCGATTATCCGGACAACCGATTATCCGGACATCCGATTATCCGGACATCCGATTATCCGGACATCCGATTATCCGGACATCCGATTATCCGGACATCCGATTATCCGGACATCCGATTATCCGGACATCCGATTATCCGGACATCCGATTATCCGGACATCCGATTATCCGGACATCCGATTATCCGGACATCCGATTATCCGGACATCCGATTATCCGGACATCCGATTATCCGGACATCCGATTATCCGGACATCCGATTATCCGGACATCCGATTATCCGGACATCCGATTATCCGGACATCCGATTATCCGGACATCCGATTATCCGGACATCCGATTATCCGGACTTCGGATTATCCGGACATCCGATTATCCGGACATCCGATTATCCGGACTTCCGATTATCCGGACTTCGGATTATCCGGACTTCGGATTATCCGGACTTCGGATTATCCGGACTTCGGATTATCCGGACTTCGGATTATTCCGGAATGTTATTTAAATTCAGAACCTAAATTTGGTATCGATCAAATGGACCTTTTGTCGAATAACATTTTTCCAGTTATTCGGACTCCGATTGAATTATACGATTCTTGATTCTCTAGAAATTGTCTAGAATATACCTTATTTAGCTTAACAACGTTTGCCGGGTCAGCTAGTATATATATATATATACAAATAGCCTTTTTAATATAGTCGTTTTTAATTTTATTATTTTTTATATTTATATTTCAACTCATACTAAAATTCAATTCAAAATAATTAACAGTATTAAGACTAGTAGTAAAAAATATGAAATTTTAGTTATAATATTTTTTTTAATTATATTCAACTTCTAATAAAAACTATGAATTCAATATTTCCTTAATTGCAAGATATAATTTAATTTTTTTGTTTGTTGTTTCATACAAATATTTCAGTTAACACTCGAATTGTTTCTGATTCAATCTCTTTGTTTAAATAGTTGCTACAGATTCGAGCCACGTTTTTCATTTATAATTTTAGAACAGGTGATTTATTAAAGCGATTTTAATTATAATGTGTTTAAGAATGTAAGCAGCTATTGACAATTTGAAAAAAATTCTCTAACGAAAACGTGTCTATTAAATCTCTAACGATTTGTTACCGGAAGATACATTTCAGAGATGGCCAATATTAGGATCAAATTTAAAGAAAAACAACTTGAATGGAAGTTAGAAAATACATTATACTTATTTGTTATTTAGTAAAAATAATAATGTTATTGGAATATTAGTATGTTTTCTTATATATTCTCTCCAGAAGATAATTCTTAGATATGGTCAATAGTAGGAACGAACTTGTTCCTAATATTGGCCATATCTGAGAATTGTTTTCTGAAGTTAGAAAAATTTTTGAAGAAAAGATAGAAAATATATTACATTTAAATATATATTTAATAAAAATTAATGCCGTTTTGAATTTTTTTAACTCCTTAAAATGCAATGAACTAAATTCAAAGTTTCAAAAAATACTGATTAAAAATTAATCTTATGAAAAAATTATTTTTTAAAAAAATAATAGAAACGTTCACCCTGATTTATTTAAACACTATGCTTAATAATTCCGTAGTTCAATTATTAACAACATTCATACTTATTATTATTATATAAAACATGTTATTATTGATATTAGCAATTTATATTGGATTAATTTTTATGGAATTTTGGACTTTATATTTTTTGTATAATCAAAATTTTGTTCAAACGTGATCGACAATAATCATTACAAATTTAAATAAATGTACTTTAAAAATAAATAGTTTTAACTATAAAATTTTTTAAAAAATGAGAAGAAAATCATCAGTGTTCTACTATTTATTTTAGCAATTTATAGCATGACTTATATACATATTTTTTCTATTTGAGCAATGATTCATATGAACTTTGATCACCACTGATTTAATGAGCATGCAAATTAATGGTCTATAAACAAGCTTTGTCGCAAACTGATTTATTTGTAAAAACTTATGTTTATTTATATTTTTTGTGTCTACAATTCATATTGAAATGAATTCAAATAAAAAGTCGGCCGAATTTTATCGTTTCATTGAAATGCGCATAAATCTCAGTATTTTTTTTAAATTATACGCACTTTGTAGTCTTATTCAAATATTTATAACGGTAATAAAAAATACATTGTACTACAAGCAATTAGATACAGGGTTTGCATAAAATTATTTATCTGAAAGTTACACTGATATTAATATTCATAAACGTATATTATATTTTCCACTTTAATGGTAAATTATAAATATTACTAATCGGGCAATTATAGTGAAAGTAACCTTACTATCGAACCTTTCTCTTTAAATCATCAGAAAATCAAGTTTTCTATGTTCCAGAAAGTAAAAGTAATGTATCTGCATATAAACTGAACTCGGATATAAGATCTATGAGACTTAAATTATATAATTATTTATAGTAAGATATCACGTGCATTTATTTTTACCTGAATTTTAAAAAAATCCAAACATTTGAAAAAAAATCAAAAATTATTTCTCGTATATAAAAATACACGTGATGTTTGGTGGGGGAAGGGGTGGTTAATTTTGAATGAAAGAGGGAAATTGGATAAAATCCTTACAAAATCGATCACGTGATTAATGGATCAATTTTTACTTAGAGATAAAAATCTTAAATATTTCCATGAAAATTGTCCTTCGCAGGCATTGCTGCATCGAAACGTTGAATAAATTACACATAACAGTGATAAACAGTGTTGTATTTTAAAAATAATTTTAAATTTAATTAATTAATTTTAGTACTGTTTTTAGCCTTTTTCTTTGCTATAGAAGGGATTGTATTGTATGTTCTGACAGAAAAGCACCAGGAGGAACGCGACGAACAATATTTTATTGTAAAACATGTCAAAATCAACAAGCTATACATTTTGGAAATTGTTTTGAACATCACCATTCTTTATAGAATGATCAAAAATAAATTCATATTATAAATGTATGTCCTTCAATGACTACAAATTTTTATCAAACAAATTGCATAACATACACCATGAAATCAAGTTTTCAGCCGGTACAGTAGATTGTTTTAAAATCGGTGCCGTCCCGTAAGGGTTAAAATATGAAAAAAAAAATTTTTTAATAATCACATACTCGAATCACTTGGATTAATATTTATTTATGTATATTTTAATAAGATGCAAATACTTTCCAGTAAATATAATAGCATGTTTAACTAAACCGTAGCGTGCATGTCATTCATCATAACATATCTCACGTAACCAACAGGCGGACAATAGGATTCTAATTCGTTCTGAGCACTGTAAAAATTAAATAAAAAAGACATTGACTTATATAACAATAGTTTACATATATATTGTTATATGTAGTATAGACACAGCCATATCCAAGGCCAAGGCAAATTGTAAAAATACTATACTGTTAATGATTAGATGATTTAGTAAAACACCCAACTTTTATTTATGAATTATCAAAATTTGTTATATATATACATATATCACACTATTCTTCCCTGAATCTAGTTGGATTTCAACTCAGTTTACGGAAATGCCCTAGGGCAGTATTACCCATTATTATTATTACATATATATGAATACAATATACTGTTTCTTTTACTCAATTTACAAAACAAAAAATCATCATTTTTATTAAATGTCAAGGAAAAAAAACATGAACAAGATTTTTACTTTAAGATTTTTACCGCCATGTATTTTATTCAAATTTTGAAATAAAAATTTTATAATAGAGCTTCTTAATTTTCTACTTAGTTTTTTTATATTGACGGTAAGTGACATTCTGTTTTACAATGTTTGATATAATTTTTGAAATATTAGGTACATAATCCTTTAATGGTTTTACACGTTTTTTAATTTAATATTTGATAAAAAAAATTGACATATCAATGGACCATGTTAATTTAAGTATAATTTTTAATAGTATTTTTTTAAATATATATTTTAATTTTTCACTTTCTAATTATTTTATAAAAATAATTTAGTATATGTTATTTACTTATTTTCACGTAAATAACATTTCATTACAATAACACCTCATAAACTAAAATTAATAAAATTCGCTAATTATAAATATTATAAAAAATTGTTTTGCATTGTTTTCTAGAATAACCCAAATACCATGACACGTGAGACCTTAGGAGTAGTTGAACCTCCGGGTTTGGGAAACTCTCATCTAGTATTTGGTAAGTAGAATTATTGTGACTAGGTGTAAGTGTCATTTTGCCATTGGGCAAGGTTTAGGAACACCCCAATATATATAATAATTCAATTACACAATGACCGAAATTGAGATATAGCTATTTGGACAAAATATTTCAGCTCGAAAATTAGGTTCTCGCTTTCACTAAAAACTAATCAATGAAAAACGTTAACGAAATTCTTATTTATATTTTTCATAATAGCAAATTTTGACTAAAATTTCGACTCTTCAAATAATTTTAAACTTTGATGATTTTTTTTAAATTTAAACCACATGTCGTAGGGCGTTATTTTTGAAAAAAATTTCATACTATTTCCATACAAAACTTTGATTGAATTGCGCTTTATCTAAAAGACAATATTAAGAGATAAAACTATCAGAGAATTGTTTTTTATCAATTTGGAACCATTTGAGCCCTTGGGAGCTAGGAAATTCAAAAATGTCCATATTAAGGACCACCCAAATACATATATATATATATATATATATATCTTTTGTCTATTTTCATTCCAGATGAGCGTCGAAAAGGTGTCGTCCAGCTCACCTATGGCTCTCTGGTGCTCCTGGCTGCGATATTCATCTGCACCGTCGTCGGTACCGGTTTGGCGGTCTACAACTTTGCGGCTTGTCCCCGAATGGATCCACTTTCAGAGGTTTCTTTAGAGGAAAATTCAACATTTTGTGCCCTTTTCTCCACGACAACCGTCGCGAACGATATAGACATTTCTACAGATGCTCCCGTTAAAAAAATCGATGTGCGGTTACCCAAGACAATAGTACCAGTCGCATACAATATAGCCCTTGTGCCTTTTATAATCGAAGGGAATTTTACATTCAACGGAGAAGTTAGTATTATCATTAAAGTGTTAGAGAATACAAATTCGATTACGTTAAATGTGAACGATATCAAAGTCAATGAAAGTTCTGTGAACGTTAGAAGATTGGTGGAAGGTGATAAAATTCAAGATATTGTTGTTGAATCGCAAGTTGAAGATAAAACTAGACAATTTTATGTTTTAAAATTAAACGAGTTGCTAGATGCTGGAGTGGAATATGTAGTGTATATGAAATATGAAGGTGTGCTTAATGATTATATGCAAGGATTTTACAGGAGTTCATATATGGTCAATAATTCTACAAGGTAAGGTGACCTGATTTATATAACCTTTTATTTACCTTAAGATGATAGCATTACCAAGTATAAAAAATATTATTAATTTGCCGAAGGAGCAGTTTGTTTTTTTTGAAAAAATCCGATTTGCTAATTTTATCTATTCTCAACTTTTCAAGTCAATCTGAATCCAATGATACCATATTTGAAAACTGTGTTTGTTTGTGTATGTAAGCCGATAATTTTCTCAACTGGACCGATTTCAAAAATTTAAAAGCCATTTGATGTAACTCAATAAACCCTAGCATTCATCACTTTTGCACAACAATCGGTCAAACCATTTCTCTGTAGCTAGCAGAATGGCGTAACATTTTTTATCCACATTTTAGCCCACAATTTTGAACGGATTTAAAAAACCAAAAACCGAAAAAATATTTTGACAATTTTAATAAAATTTTGTATATCGATACATTTTATAATCTAAAATAATATACTAAAATATCATAGGCCTACGATAAGCAATTGAATTTTAAATGAGACTAAGCGATTCTAATCAGAATCTAGGACGAGCATATATATACGTTCCATGATTAGAGGGCTTCTATTAATCACGTGTGGTTTTTAGAGGAAGGGGAGTTTGACAAAAAATCACAAAATATCACGTAGAGGATATTTATTCTAAACCTGATTTTTTATCCAAACATTTTCAAACAAAATTTGAAAATTTACAATTTTTTCTCGTAATTAAAAATACACGTGATGTTCGGTGGGGGAGGGGGGATAATTTTGAATATTACCACAAATCACCAAGGGGGGGTCCAAAGGTCCTTAAAAATCCATCACGTGGTTAATGGATGCCCCCTTACTTTAAATAAAATGTTTTTAGAACCTGAATTGGATAAAATAAAATGTGTTGAAAGAATTCATTTAATTTATACTATTACTGATATTGTAAGTTGTGTAATAGACATTATTTGGACATTATATTGATTAATTTTTAGTGCAAGCAAAAAAATTGTTTTTGAAATAATATTTTACCTAAATAACTTAATATTCTATTATTATTCCAATTTCTTCCTTCAAGATGGTTAGCTGCTACACAGTTCCAGGCGACGGACGCCCGGCGAGCTTTTCCGTGCTTCGACGAGCCGAGCTTGAAAGCTCGATTCACCATAAACGTTGCGAGACCTCGTGAATATACTTCTATATCGAACATGCCAAAGAAAAATGTTATTTCAGAACCAGTGTAAGAATAAAACACAATTATATATATATATATATATATATATATATATATAATTATAATTATAATTATAAGTAATTTCTAATTTTAGAGAAAACGTACCAGGCTATGTTTGGGATCACTACGAAGAATCGGTGCCTATGTCAACTTATCTTGTGGCCTTTGTCGTATCAGATTTGGCAAATAAATCTGATGGTAATTTCACTGTATGGGCTAGAAGTGAAGCAATATCTTCAACCAGCTATGCATTAGATGTGGGGCCTAGACTGCTCAAATACTTTGAAGAATACTTTGGAATAAAATATCCATTGCCCAAACTTGATATGATAGCATTGCCAGATTTCAGTGCAGGGGCTATGGAGAATTGGGGACTTATCACTTATAGGTAGAAAATAGTTAAGATATTTAATAATTTTTTATTTTAAATTAATCCTTTTATTGTTTCTAGAGAAACGGCGATGTTATATGAAGAAGGCGTTTCATCGAGTGTTTTTCGAGAAAGAGTTGCTACCGTAGTGGCTCATGAATTGGCTCATCAATGGTTCGGGAACTTGGTCACTCCATTCTGGTGGACCGACCTCTGGTTGAATGAAGGATTTGCGACTTATGTTGAATACATTGGATTGGAAGCGGTACCTAAATTAAAAATTGTCACCCAGCAAATATCCTTCAGCTAAACTAAAAAATATTTTATTCTAGGTTGAACCCACGTGGCGGTCAATGGAGCAGTTCGTAGTTCTGGATCTGCAGAGTGTTATGGGTCTAGATGCTTTATCATCTTCTCATCCAGTCTCAGTTGTTGTGCACAATCCTGATGAAGTCGATGAAATATTTGATAGAATTTCATATGCAAAAGGTGCCGCGATAATAAGGATGATGGATCACTTTCTTACAAACAAAGTTTTCAGACATGGTTTGAACGATTATTTAGAGTCAAGGTAATAATATAATTCTCAATTCTTACTATTATAGTGTAATAATTTTTCTTCAATATTATGTTTTAGAAAATATCAGGCTGCTGAACAAGATGATCTTTGGGAGGCGTTGACCAGAGCAGGCAAAAAAGCAGGCGTTTTACTTGATGGATATACTGTTAAAGACATTATGGATACATGGACTCTTCAAACTGGATTTCCTGTAGTGCACGTTGATAGAGATTATGATAAATTTTCTGTTAGTTTTAGTCAGGTAATTAAAAATAATTAAAAAACTATTAAGCTTTATAGTAATTTTGAATTTTGAATGGCAATTTTCTATCTTGTTTTTTTTTTAATAGATACGTTTTATGTTATCGTCTTCGGAAAGAAAAGCATCTAAACAAGTTTGGAAAATTCCTATTACATTTACAACTTCAGAAGTATCAGATTTTAATTCAACTAAGACACAGCATTGGCTTAATACTCGTTCACTAAAAGTAGAAGTACCTTCTTTGTCTTCCAATCAATGGATCATCGTTAATATCCAAGAAACTGGTAAAATATTATTAAGGTATTAACACATAAGTATATACTGTATCCATTATTATTTTCTAGGTTTTTACAGAGTTAATTATGACCGACAAAATTGGCGTTTAATTTCACAGCATCTTTTGGATCCTGATCGGTTTGCTCAAATCAGTGCCGTCAATAGGGCTCAATTGCTGGATGATGCATTGAACCTTTGGCTCGAGCTGATCTTTTAGATTATTCAACTGCATTGGAAATAACAAGATATTTAGCACATGAACGAGAATATGTACCATGGAAAGCAGCGATAAATGGAATGACCATGATTGGCGACATGTTAGCAAAAACCGGAGCTTTCGAATATTATAAGGTTTATTATTGAAACAATTTAAATGCTCGAATTGTTTTTATATTACACATATCATTTATCACAGCAATACTTGTTGCGTTTACTCCGAGCCACCTACATGGAAGTTGGTTTCAAAGAAGTATCTGGAGAAAGCTTATTAACAGTTTATAAAAGAATGGAAATCTATTCTTTAGCTTGCGAATTGGGTTTGGAAGATTGTTTAAGACATTGCGTCACCATGTTTGAAAATTGGAAGAATACGCCAAATCCAGATCGTGATAATCCGTAAGAAATTAAACAATATTAATCATTACGACCATTCTATCAAATGTTGACTTTAACAATTTCCAGAATTCCAGCAAATATGAAGAGTTTAGTATATTGTACAGCCGTTCGAGTTGGTGGCCAGGATCATTGGGATTTCACCTGGGAACGTTACTTGAAAGCAACGGTTAGCTCTGAAAAGGAACTACTTTTGAGCGCTTTGGGATGCACCAGAGAAACCTGGTTACTTGCCAGGTAAAAATACCAAAGCAATTTTGTTTAATATAATAATTCATCAAATTATTAACTCATTGTTATTTAGATACTTGGATCGTGCAATGTCCGAAGAACATGGAATTCGAAAACAGGATCTGTACCGTGTTTTTGGAGCAGTATCTGATAATGTTATAGGGCAGCCAATCGTATTTTCTTATATTAGACAAAATTGGAATAAACTTAAAAAATAGTAAGTAAGCAAGCTAAATTATTCCATAAGAAATTCAGAATATACCTGCTAACAATTTATGATTTTAGCCTTGGAAGTACACTCACAAATTTACAAAGTATTCTAAAACTGGCAGCCTTGAAGATAAATACTAAATTTGAACTGGACGAAGTGAGTATACATTAATAAACATGTAACAAAAAAATTGCAGGATTAATAACTTAATTTAGAATGCATTAAGTTCTGTATTAGATATTGAATTCTCAATTGATCGTTCAAATACTATGTTACCTAAATTTAATAACACATGAGAGCATCATTATTATTAACCATTAATTTATATCGCAGTTAAGACGTTTCGGTCATATTCATAGAGCAGACCTAGGCCGAGCGATTGACCAGGCTGTTGAAAGAGCTGAAGGAAATATTGCATGGATGGATCGAAATTATGCAGCTATAGTCAACTGGTTAAAAAAAGTAGAAAGGACATAATTATGTAATTATAGCTATAAGAATATAAGATATTTATTAGTAAATATTTTATTGATTAGAAATATGAATACTTATATCTTAAAAAACTTCTAAGAAATAATCAATCCAATCAATTGACAAGTTTTTTCCAGTGTGCAGTAGACATTTCAAACCATATGAAATGCAATTAACATGGAATTAAATATTTTAATAAATACTTTTATGTGATATAATTAAACATCATTTCTTCATTCTTTATGGATGCTTTCCTTGGTACATATTCTCGTAATTTTCTATTTTCTAAAATATAATGAAACAAGTTTATGAAAATAATGCTTTATTTTCAAATAAGACATTTCTTGCTATCTAATATTAAAATTGCTTAATTATATACATGTTTTACAAATAACATTATTCATTTCTTAAATTTCTTCCTCAGCCTGTTCCAAAACAGCACCACTGTAAGCTAAATCCCAGTAATGTTCTACTTTATGTTTCTGGAAGAACTCCCTGGCCATTTTTTCCATTGGACAAACTTTAAATTTAATTTCACCAAAATTCCGGTACTTAGTGGTACCTTCCCATACTAAATGACAGGTGTTAGGTACTTCATTTCCATCATTGTCCTTTACCAAGTCTTCTTCCCATTTTATGCGATTCATCATAAGTCTTTTATATTTCTTCTGCTGTTTGACTCCACCTTCCACAACAATTACACAACAATCTTTGAATAATAAAACGCATCCGGTCATATACAATTGTTTGGCATTTGTTTCTACTTTGAATTTCTTACTAGCATTTTCATGCAAATCTCTAACTCTATAAACAGCAACATGTACTCCACCAGAAGTATCTTCTTTCAATTTTTTTATTTTTTTCTCGCGTCTCTGAGTGTCTGTTAGCCTCCTTGCAGCATTTGCTTGTTCATGTGCCTTCTGTCTTTTGGCCATTTGATCTCTAACGTGAGCTTCAATTTTAGTTGGATCTTGAACAGCTTCTGTTCCCAAGATTCGCATGAGATTCGAAATTCTTAATTTAGGTTCTGGTGGTGCTTCTAGGCCCAAACGAATTTTTTCTTGTTCTTCTTTCCAAGCCTCACGTCGATTTTGCCTTCGAAGTTTTTTCCTTTCCTTCTTAGTCAAGAAAACAGGCATGTAAACTGGTTTATTGGTTTCTGTTGGAGGTCTCATTTGTGTTGGATGTTCTACTAAATTAGTTATTGAAAACTGCCTGATAGCTATATTATCACCATCCATCGTATTCAAATCATCTTTTGCAATTACTGAATCCCACCATTCTATATGAGGTATGTCATCAGTTTGCAATTCACTTTTTGGAGCTATTAATGCTAATTTTGTGGCGGACGAAATACCAGTTTTCCTAGCTATTTGAGAAATTTCATTTTGTAATTTTTCTAATTGCGCCTTCATTCGTATTCTATCAGCAATTTGTTGAAATTTACCAGGTTCATTAAATTTCAGAGCTCGTTTATTCCTTACGGAAGGTTTAGCACCAATTCTACTATCAAAGAAACTGTTCTCAGATAAATCATCACCAGTTTTGTCGTTTAATTGAGTTTTAAATTCCTCACGCTTTTTAGCTCTAATATTAGCTTTTAGTGTTGGCGCAACATGTGTTAACTGAATAGCTTTTCCAGTTACATCAATAGTATTACCTTTATCATCCAAAATTAAAGGTTTAGGCTTATCAATAGGAGGTGGCTGTGATATCAATCCTTGCATTATTATCCCACTAGCTAATTTTGATTGAATTTGAGCTTGTAGTTGAGCAATTTTTCTTGCTTTTTCAGCATCTTCTCTTTTCAACAAGCCCACTTGAGGCCCGAGCATTGTAGGTTTAACTAATTGAGGAGGAGGCAACTTCATTGGCACTTTAGGTTGAGTTTTATTTCTTAATTCTAGTAAAGACTTTTTGCGTTCCTCAATTTCACGCTGGGCTGTTTTCATCATTTCTTTGATTTTCATTGGTGATAATTCTTCAGGTGGTTTATCAGCACTATTTTCCTTTTTCTTGTCGGTATCGGTTTTATCATTTTCTTCTTTGCGAAGTTTTTTGGAATCTCTATCTCTAGAATCAGCATCGTGGGATCTTTTTTTAGACTTTTGGCTATGCCTTAAATCATCCAAAAGATCTTGTAGTTTATCAGCCAATCTGCTAGCTTTCTTGCTGTCTATTACAGAAGTCAACTTATCTACTATTTTTCTTCTATCATAACCATTCAATAAACATTTTTCTACGGTATTATAAATCAAGGAATCTGAACTTCCTACAACTTTGTGTATAGTTTTATCAATAGAGGACTTCATATCCTCAACATCTCTACGTGATAACTGAGAAGCCATGGCCAATACTTCTTTTCGAATCTGAATATTACTTTAATTTCAAAACATAACAATACAAAATTAGATGAATTTAATTATAAAAATAATGTTTGGTTAATATAACCTAAACGAAACAGGATTTTTACATTCGTTTGTTAGTTATGCCACACATAAACGTTATATTACGCAATATTTTTCACTTAATTTTATCACCAATATATTGTTAAATTGAATCGAATAATCGACGCTTTTGAAAAGTTTCAATATTGTCGAGGTTCAGTAATAATATGACTTTTGACAGCGTCAACTAGCCAAGTCGGACATCTTGGAAATGGTAAGCATAGACAATATAGCAATGATGGATAGCTTATATCCTAGACTAGACAATATAAATATTAAAACTTTTTCTACACATAAATAAATAAGCTTAATATAAATAAGCTTATAGTTAAAAGAGGGAAAATTTAAATAAAGGAAAAACATAGATAAAAGAAGCTTAATAAAAATAACACACATAAATAAGCACATAGGTAAAAAAACAAGAACTTGAATGAAACAAGAATACATAGAAAAAAGAAGCTGATATTTGTTATTGTTCAAGATGTGTGTTTTAATTATTTCTAATTTTGCATTATTTATAACGCCAGTTTATGAAAATATGGAAAAAATTAAGAACCATATTAAGGCACGATGCCACAACTTAGTTTATTAGGTAACAATACACAATATACTCTTCTTTTACCTATGCATATACATAAGCACATCATGAAACTTATAAAAATATATAGACATGATATATAATTACATATAAATTTTTGATATTAAAATATCTCGCGACCCCAGAATTTTCCTACTCGACCCATAGTTTAAGAAGCCCTGTCATAGACACTATGTTTAAAATTAAGTTGGTATCACTCATTAAGTTGTTGATCATAGTCTAGAGTTGGTGAACATGACTGTCAAAGTCGGTATTAACAGGCAGTCAAGTTGTTACTTAAAATTTTTACAAACATACAAATTATTCCAGTAATTTATTGAATTAAATGAAACTAAAGAAAAAAAAGTTAAATATTTGTGCATAAAGCACATTATTCGTTTACAAACTCTTAACGATCCCTGGACACTTAATTAATTAATTAATGTTTTAATAAAACGTTAAATATTGTGTCATGACGTTTATGTGATTCCGTTTCGAATATAGTTAAGTGCAATATTGTTTTGTTATTTTAAGAAGACCTCTACACTTCAGGAATTACTTGTTTACACAATTCTGTTTATGATTATCGAAAATAAACGCTTTGTTGGTAAGTAAACTTGAAATGTTTTCTAACTGTTAAGGCTTAGACTACAACAGTAAAGGGCTAAAGATGGCGCCCACATTTTAGGAACTATTTTACTCAATTTAATTTATAATTGTGAAATATAATCGCTTATTATAGAGTAAACTTAAAATGTTTCTTAACTACTAAGTGTCCATATAACAGGAATATACATTGTACATGATTGCAATAAACATTCTTAAAATCAGTTCAATGAGAATCCAAAAATTCATCAACATACCAGAGTGGTTAATTTCAATCATTCCAAAACCTTTCGTGGATCATACTTCTGCAATCAGTATAATTTGTATTTATACTATATTTTCAATATTTATTTAGTTGTACATTTACATTTTTATAGAAAAAGGAGTTCATATAATAAAATGCAGGTAATGACAAATGTTTGGATTGAGAAATATAGTGAATGTTATGGTCTATTTCAAGCCTATATTTCCTGTTTCAAAATAGATTGCTATACAAAATTTAAATGTGTAGGGTTTGTAAAGTACAATTTTTTTCCTCAACACATATTAAACAAATGAACAAATGGACTTTTAATACTATTACTCATTCTCGTACTATTATATTTACAAACTATTATATTACTACATTGTACACATGTTACTATTACTCTCGTACTATTTACAAATACTGTACTATATACTCTCGTTCTATTATGTACGCAAATACTTTTAACTATTACTCACGTATATTATATTTACAAACACTGTTATATACTCTCGTACTATTATGTACACAAATACTATTACTCATTGACGTACTATATTATATTTACAAACACTGTTATATACTCTCGTACTATTATGTACACAAATACTATTACTCATTGACGTACTATATTATATTTACAAACACTGTTATATACTCTCGTACTATTATGTACGCAAATACTATTACTCATTCACGTACTATATTATATTTACAAACACTGTTATATACTCTCATACTATTATGTACACAATTACTATTACTCATTGACGTACTATATTATATTTACAAACACTGTTATATACTCTCGTACTATTATGTGCACAAATACTATTACTCATTCAAGTACTATATTATATTTACAAACACTGTTGTATACTCTCGTACTATTATGTGCACAAATACTATTACTCATTCACGTACTATATTATATTTACAAACACTGTTATATACTCTCGTACTATTATGGACGCAAATACTATCACTCATTGACGTACTATATTATATTTACCAACACTGTTATATACTCTCGTACTATTATGCACGCAAATACTATTACTCATTCACGTACTATATTATATTTACAAACACTGTTATATACTCTCGTAGTATTATGTACACAAATACTATTACTCATTCACGTACTATATTATATTTACAAACACTGTTATATACTCTCGTACTATTATGTACGCAAATACTATTACTCATTCACGTACTATATTATATTTACAAACACTGTTATATACTCTCGTACTATTATGTACGCAAATACTATTACTCATTCACGTACTATATTATATTTACAAACACTGTTATATACTCTCGTACTATTATGTACGCAAATACTATTACTCATTCACGTACTATATTATATTTACAAACACTGTTATATACTCTCGTACTATTATGTACGCAAATACTATTACTCATTCACGTACTATATTATATTTACAAACACTGTTGTATACTCTCGTACTATTATGTACGCAAATACTATTACTCATTCACGTACTATATTATATTTACAAACACTGTTATATACTCTCGTACTATTATGTACGCAAATACTATTACTCATTCACGTACTATATTATATTTACAAACACATACTCTCGTACTATGATGTACGCAAATACTATTACTCATTCACGTACTATATTATATTTACAAACACTGTTATATACTCTCGTACTATTATGTACGCAAATACTATTACTCATTCACGTACTATATTATATTTACAAACACTGTTGTATACTCTCGTACTATTATGTACGCAAATACTATTACTCATTCACGTACTATATTATATTTACAAACACTGTTATATACTCTCGTACTATGATGTACGCAAATACTATTACTCATTCACGTACTATATTATATTTACAAACACTGTTGTATACTCTCGTACTATTATGTACGCAAATACTATTACTCATTCACGTACTATATTATATTTACAAACACTGTTATATACTCTCGTACTATTATGTACGCAAATACTATTACTCATTCACGTACTATATTATATTTACAAACACTGTTATATACTCTCGTACTATTATGTACGCAAATACTATTACTCATTCACGTACTATATTATATTTACAAACACTGTTGTATACTCTCGTACTATTATGTACGCAAATACTATTACTCATTCACGTACTATATTATATTTACAAACACTGTTATATACTCTCGTACTATTATGTACGCAAATACTATTACTCATTCACGTACTATATTATATTTACAAACACTGTTGTATACTCTCGTACTATTATGTACGCAAATACTATTACTCATTCTCGTACTATATTATATTTACAAACACTGTTATATACTCTCGTACTATTATGTACAAAAATGCTATTACTCATTCTCGTACTATTATATTTACAAACACTCTTATATACTCTCATATTATTATGTAGTTGGCTTGAGATATTAATTAATTCACTAATTTGTATTAACATCTATAGTTAAACTTATTGAAAATGACAACATATTATTTCGAATTGATAGTGTATGCTTTCAAAATTAAATAATTTTTATTTTATAATAATACTACGGTTTATTACGGTGACGTGCATATAATTGTGGTTTTAATTCGTTTAGACTTTAGAAAGTTCATTGAAAAATTCTATTTGATCAATCTTTTTGGATCCATAACAAAGTAAAGCTTTTCACTTATATCCTTTATTTTGGTATACCCTAAATAGTAATCATTAAAGAACAAAACAGTTATGCTCTTATTTTCAATTACACTTGTCTCTTTATAGAGAATAAACTTCGCTCTTCCCTAAATTTAGATTTTTACTATTTAAAAAAAAATCGAGAATATCAAAAAATTGAGAAATTTCTTTTTATAGATATATTGTGATTTTTTTAAATATTTTTGTAGTTCGTATGAATGCGACATGCATATTACGATTAATAATCTTTTTTTTCGGATTATTTGGAGGGCTGAAATCAGTGCGTGTCCTTTATACGAAGAAATGAGTTTATGAATGGTTTTCATTGAGAAAAAAAATATTCGAAGATATATCCATGGTTTATTTTGCAAATTTTTGCCGGTTTAATTTTTTCAAATTTTCAAAGATATATCCAGAGTTTATCCAAAGATATAGCTATGGTTTATTTTCATGGTTTGCTGTTCACGTTTTTTTTTAAATATAATCCGGAACTCATTGGACTCTTTAATGAAAGAACAAAATTATCACGAGTGATGAGCTTTCAGGGTTGTTGTATCACTGCAAAACAACTAAATCTTTGGTTGCAACATCGAAATTTTACTAATGAAATTAACTTTTTTTTCGCATTTTCAAAATGATTTGACTGATTCTGATAGATTTTGAGGCGTTCATTTCGAATATAAAATCAGTTTTTGGAAAAATTCACTCCCCTACTACCAACTTTTTTCGTGATTTTTAAAATGTTTTGATTGAATTTATCAGATTTTGGGACGCTGTTTTCAAAATGCTATCCGTTTTTAGATAAATTCACATACTTCTGCAAAAAATCAAAATCTTTGGTTGTAACATCGAATTGTTTTCAAAAAAATCAAGTTTTTTTTCGCAATTTTTTGAATGTTTTAACTGATTTGTATATATTTTGGGGG